CGGGTTTGAGACCCGCCTGGGCAGCGAGACCTCATCTCTACAATAAATCAAAAAATTAGCTGGCATGGTAGCGCACACCTGTAGTTCCAGCTACTTGGAAGGCTGAGGCGGAAGGATCACCGGAGCCCAGCAAGTCGAGGCTGCGATGGGCGGGAGCGGCCACTGCACTCCAGTCTGGGCGAAGAGTGAGACTCCAACTCAAAAAAAAAAAAGTGTTATGTAAAATGATAAATTTTGATGGACAACTCTTCTTTTTACCTTATTTCCTTTCTTCCACCCCTTTTTTTATTCCTTTTCCTTCCATTCTTTTATAGCTTGTTCAAACCCTTTCTTCAAGTTCACAAGGGCATATTCTCTGGCCTTTCTTGATCTCTAAAAATAAGCAGAAATTATAAATATTAAATAAGATATGTATAATAAGAAATAATTTCCATGGTTCTTTAAATAATGTCAAGGAAAGCTATACTAGAACACATTTAAATACTGAATGCTTCCTGGAACTCTACCTCTTATATTTTAGGCATATAATTATCATTTGTTGGCGAGAGGCCTACTGTAAATACAACATTCTCGTATTTTATAATAACTTCTGTTCCAATGTTTTCCCCTTCTAGAGGAGCATTAATCATTCTTTATCTCTTTAGTACCTAGCGTGTCCTTTTTCCCAACTGCAGAGCTTCACAGACTGTCCATGTGCAAAGAGCAGTTTTTTGTGCTGGTCTGTAAATCAAATTATACAGTAATTGCTCTTTTTTACTTTTAAATACTCTTCATTTAAGATACCAAAGAAAATTATTCCACTTTCCTTGGAGAGTTCCAGAGTATAGTAACAAAAGCAGGTCTTCACAATTGGTGCTATCAGGGATTCATGTGCCAGCTGGCATGTCACTGTGGCAACTCTGGCGAATTAGTCTAAGCCTTCATTTACCTACTCCCAACTGGAGATCAAAATCAGTATTAGTAATTCCTAACACTTACTGGGCACTTTCTGTACTAGGCACAGAATTTTATGTGCAATCATTACCCATTTAATCCTCACAACAAACCACGTCTGTTATTATCCTTATTTCACAGATGAAGAAACAGATTCAGTAGCTTGCTCAGAGTCAAACAGCTGGTGGTGAAGACCCAAACAATCCACATCGCGCTATACAATAGGCTGCCTTGTCCTCTTTCATTTGTTGTACTGACTTCTCATCCACATTTGAGCTCAATAATTTAAATTAGATTTATCAGAAGAAATGTATCCCAGATTCTTTGTGCTCATATTCATTACTTATATGAGTATAAGTTATTACCCACTTTGATTTTTAAACCAAAACCTTTTTGTTTGTTTGAGTCAGTCTCACTCTGTCACCCAGGCTGGAGTGCAGGGGCATGCACACTCATGGCCACTGTAGCCTCGACCTGCTGGGCTCAGTGATCCTTCCGCCTCAACCTTCCAAGTAACTGGAAACTACAGGTGCACACCACCACGCCCAGCTAATTTTTTTAATTTACTGTAGAAATGAGGTCTCACCAAGTTGCCCAGCCTGGTCTTGAACCCCTGGGCTCAGGCAATCCTCTCGCCTCCACCTCCCAAAGTGCTGGGATTACAGGCGTGAGCCTCTGCACCCAGCAAGCCAAAACCTTTTCATATCCCAACAGTTATATGTCAACGAAAGACTTGTGTTATGTGTCATCTCTTTCATCCAGGTATTACCAGATATCTGGAGACTTGAAAAGTTAACTAGCATTTCTGAGTCTCAGTTTCTTCATCTGGAAAATAAAGAAGTTGGAATCAGTTATCTGTAGGGTTTCTTCCAACCCCAAAATTCTAATCTCCAAATGTGAATGTATAATTATCCATTTTAAGGTTTCCTTTAACTTAATCTGACAGTTAAAATCTAACAAAAGGGCTGGGCTCAGTGACTCAACCTGTAATCCCAGCACTTTGGGAGGCCGAGATGAGTGGATTACCTGAGCCGGCGGGTTTGAGACCAGCCCAAGCAACCTGGTGAGACCTCGTCTCTACAATAAAATTTTAAAAATAGTCGGGCGTGGTAGCATGCATCTGTAGTCCCACTACTTGGAAGACTAAGGCGGAAGGAACACTGGAGCTCAGAAGGTCGATGCTGGGGTAGCCGTGAGTGAGCGTGCATGCCACTGCACTCCAGCCTGGGCGAAGCAGTGAGACTTCAACTCAAACAAAAAAAAAAGGTGTTATTGTATCAAGCCTCTGTGTTGTATTTGTGTATGACATGGAAATGCCTTGTCACCTGGGTATGTGCTTACAACACTGATTACCTTTCTTGCCTCGCAGAAAGGTAAGCTTTTGCCTTTCTTTTGCCAGATGTAACTACCCCTGAATCTCCAAAGAAGCTTGGGGAATCATCCATGGTGAATGGAGGGTTAACATCACAAGCAAATGAAAACAGGCTAAACACTGCGCAGCCAGCACCTGTGCAGCGAAAGAAGCTCCTCAAAGCCCCCACTCTGGCTGAACTGGACAGCTCTGAGTCCGAGGTGAGGTACTGGGTCACATGTCTTGACTCCAAGTTGAGGTTGCTTAATGCTTTCTGACCCAGTTTACTAATCATGTTGCTTCAATTGTTGGTTAATCTCTTCCCATTTTTCAGGCAGTAAATCTAGGATTGTAATTAGTTTGGTTAGCAGGAAATGAAACAGTAGATTACTCACTGTTATCAGTAAAGACCAGTATAGTAACTGTAGTTTATAGAATAAATATTGAAATTTTTATCTAGTCTTACATTACAAGTGGGGTTAAAATAAGTCAATAATTTTCAAACTTATATTACCTTAATATCTTCCCCTATCTATGGGGTAGGAAAAAAGAGTTTTTAAAAATTTTTCCATAGATTCTTCTCCCCCTAAAATACACACACACATATACACACTCCGGTACTTAGGGTCATTCTTTTCGTAATAGTAATACCAACAGACAAAGCTCCAAAAAAGAAAATTCTTATAGTGTTCCCCAGATTTCATTCTTTACCTACTTCCCTTTATAAGGAAAAAAAAACCCCTCTCATCTTTCCTTATTTCAACAGCCACTTACAAGCTAATGCTTCCCAAATTTCTCGCAAGCTTCTGTCTGCAGTGTCAGTATTGTATATATTATTGCCTGCTGGATCTCTACTGCCTGTCCCTCAAAATCAATTTTGGTAAAATGAAATTATCTTCTTCCCTCCCTTTTCCCTCACCCACTTGCCAAACCAGACACACACACACACACACACACACACACACACACGCACATACACACACACACACACACACAGATCTAGCTTCTCATCTTTTGCTTGCTGTCCTAATTGCTGGTTTCATCCTTCACACATTCACCCAAGGTAGAATCTGAGGAATTATTCTTTAATTCTCCCTTCATCAGTCTACATCCCTAATCCTAGCAATGCCAATAATAACAGTTTTGCTTCTAAAGGTTTTACAAGCAGTAATAGTAAAGAAATATCACTGACTGACTTCATTTGGTCTCTCTCACTCTCTTGCTGTCTCATCATGTCTTGTCAGATTTTTCTTCTTGGCTTCCCAAATTCCATCTTGCACACACCACCAGAGTCTGTCACTCCTTTACTTCAGAAGACTCCCTGTCACCTACGGGATAACCTTCATGTCCCCTGATCACATGCCTGCTGACACCTCTGTTCTGATTTCATACCCTCTCTGCCTCTTGGCTCACAACGCAGCCACACTCAGCCATCTGTTCTTCCTGCACAGTTCATAGTTGCTCAGCTCTGTGCTTAGCTGTGTCTGCAGTCTGCCCCACATCCTTTTCCGAGTCAGCATATGCTTCATCTTGTCTTATGAAGTCTTCCCTGACATCACTACCCTGTTAGGATCCCTTCTCTGTGATTCTGCAATAACCCACCTCTGTTATGCTGGAACACTTAGCACTTTGTCATAGAATTATCCACTCTTTTTATCTCTCCCACTGAGCTACAGATTCCCCGAGAGGAGGATCCATGCAGCATACACTTTATACCCCCATTTCTAATACTGGAAGCTCAAGTATTTAAATAAATTCATACCAACCTGTAAGAACAATGATTTAAATTTTAAAAGCTTGTAGCTTACATATCATCTAGATAGAGCTCTGCGCTTTTCCAGTACAGTAGCCACTACCACATGTAGCTATTTAAATTTAAGTTATATTAAAATGAAACAAATAAAGAACTCAGTTTCTTGGCCCCAGTACTCAAGTGCTCAGGAGCCCCCTTAGCCATTGGCCACCATACAACCCAGCACAGACCACATTCTGCTCACAGAGTTCTGATGGACAGCCCATCTTCTGGGAGCTTGTCTTCCTGCATCCCCACAGGCCTACAGTCAGCTTCCCTCCTAGGCCAAGACTGCCTACCAGGCCATGATCAGATAAATTTGCAGCCTCTATGACCTTCTGTGTGGTCCTTTCTTTTTGAGATATAATGGTAAGGCCCCAATCCAAATCTTGAGGTTATTTGTAGGTACACTACTCTTAACCAGTGGAAGGCTGTTCTAACTCAGCTACCCATCATCACTTAGAATATGAAGCATGCAGTAAGGTGCTGAGAGGAAAACTGTTATAGCTACGTTCCAGCTACCTCTGTCTTTGTCACCTGCTGCTGGGTTAAGCCTGAATGGCCTGGATGGACTTATATAGACATGAATGAAGCACCTGGAAACTCAAACCAGGTCTCCTTACAGTGTGAATTAGTGAAGAAAATTCTCCACGGGGCACTTGCCCTGGGCCCCGCACTGAGCATGTGGACAGGACACTGGGATGGTCATTTCATCTCATTGGCTGTGAGTGTATCCTCCGTCTGCTGAGGGGAGCTAATTCCATGATCTTCAGGTCTCTTCCATTCTAGAACCAGGCAGTTCTACCCCAGAAGTATGAAACCGGCAAGGTGTTGAGGGATTCTTCCTCTTCTAAGTCGACGGATGAGTAGTCTTCTCCCCACTTTTATTTGTTCCTGATGTCAGGGAATTCCTAAAGCAAGATTGATTTACCTCATGTCATATTTTCTTTCCTATAAATGACCACAAATACAAAATTGTTAAATACACTCCATATCACAGTACACAGACTTTCTTCATTCCCATTTTATAGTAACTTTTTGTTCCCTGCTTTTTAATATATTATTTAACTCTTCTCTTACTTGTTCTTTTCACCAGCTTCTTTCTTTTTTTTCAGTGCCATTCCATTCTTTCCTGTCAAATATTTATTGAATGACTCCAGTAAGTACTAAAGGCAGAGACAGAAATATGATGGGATTGGCCTTCCAGTTGCTTATAATTTAAATAGGAAATGAAAATCATATACTCAAGAACCATTACAAGTGTTTAGTGAATACAGTGTCTGCCAGGCACTGTTTTAGGCTGTGTGGTATGTGACTTGACATTGCAGAAGTCCAGACACTGCAGAGGTCACTTTGGCCAGTGACTAAACACTGCAGGGGCTGGAAGATCTGGAGAATCCACACAGAAGAGGTAGGATTTGGGTTTTGGAATGAGTGGAAAAGATAGGCAGAGAGCTCTCCATTTTGCTGTGTGAGATGAGCCTTGCTGTGCCACAGGTGTGTATGTATTTCTTCCCTACATACCCATACTTTCCCGAGGGCAGAGGTGCAGTCTTACTCAGACCTCTGCCCTTACTCCACACTTGCTATCTGGTGGCTCTGCTGACTTGCCTAGTGAATGCCTGGCTGCGACTGCACCACGAGCAAAAACCAAGTCAAGACTTGGGGCGGTAGAAGATGGTAGGGAACAAATAAAAGGAAGTCTCAAAAAAGGTTGACTTTATTTCTTTTTCTTCCTTCCTCTCAATCTTATCATGTGCTTCCTCATTTTTCCTCTCCTCCCCCCATTTGATGAGTGGCTTCCAAACATTTTTTTAGCACCAAAACTTTTTCTTCACACCAAACATATGCAGAAGCACAGTGTTCACCAGCTAGAAGTACAAGTGGGGACTAGAGTCTTGCCCACCCACAACCACCCCATCCTTCGGGGCCTTCTTGAAGGCCTGTGTCAGAGAGCAATGTGGAATTCCTTTTCCATTTGAAGAGCTGGTGTTCGACTAAGTGACAGCATTCACCTGACACTGAGCCTCTCACCAGTGGAGTTCGCTTGCCACTACTGCCCCTTGCATCAACTCTTTACCCACCCTCTGTATTGAAGCCCTCAAAACAGTTGAAGGAGCAACCAGAACCTCCCCTTGGGGAAGAAGCAGTGATACTTCCAACTGTAAACCAAGCACTTTATTCACTCCTGGTACAGGAAATGCTACCATGTGTATGTAACTTTCTCCCATTACATTCATGCTTGCAAAGGTTTTTGTTTTGTTTAATTTCACATTTTTTAAAATGCCTTCCATCCACCAAAATACCAACTCTACATACATGATCTCATATAGTATCCTTTTCTACAGAGACTTGGTATTCTTTTAAAAGATACCTTTTACCACTTCATTATATCACCTGTGCTCATCTGTACAGATAGTTTTTATTTGTTGACATTGTCCACCAGAAATTTCCTGTTACTCATTGCTGTCTTTGAGGTTTAACTCAAACTTGGGTCCAAATTATCACAAAGAACAGTGTTACTGTTTAAATAATCCTCATTGGCCGGACATGGTGGCTTATACCTGTAATCCCAGCACTTTGGGAGGCTGAGGTGGGAGGATTGCATGAGCTCAGGAGTTCAAGGCCAGCCTAGGCAACATAGTGAGACTTTTCAGTGAGAAAACTGAGCTGCTAACAGAGGTAGAAACCAAGTTAGAAAAGCTATAGAATGTTTAGTCACAGAACTAGACCTTTTTTGCATTCTCACTTTTTTTTTTTTCAGTTTCCGGAAATCTACCTTCAGCATTTCTGGCTTATCTTTAATAACCTCTGCTAGCCTATCTCGGGTAACTTACTTGAAATGAAAGATGAGTTTTCATTGTAGCCATATCAAAGCTTTCACTAGGAAAGCTAAGCAAAAGAGCTGTGTCTGGGCCTTCCCCAGGCTTTTTTTCAGAAAAAGGAAGATTTCTATTCCTAAGTGAGTTAGGTGCCTGGACTAGCCTCTGAGATGATTCTGGCAGCATCTGGTGACAGTGCACCCACGGAACAAAGCAGCAGTGCAGGAAGCTTTCCTCCCACCGCAATTCTGAGCCAGAGAAGACCTAACTTCACAGATCTGGGCCAATCACTGGGATCAGGCAAAATAAGCAGATTTCAGAAACCAGGCCAGGCCGTACAGGAGAATGATATTCTAGAGATGCTGGAGGCCTATCAGAATCCCTCACACAGCAGAAGAGGTCAGTCAGCAGGAACAGATGTGAGAGGACAGGCAGTGGGCAGGAGTCTGCATGTACACACATGTCCCGTCGTCACATGTGTGCACACACTTGTGTTCACATCTTTACTCAGGAGTTAGGACCTTTCAGAGTCGCCTGGTTCTCCCTCTGAGTCTGTGAGACCTCTGGAACAAGAACCAATCCTATAGAAGGTTAGTTCTGAGCAGTCAGAAAACTCTGTACAGTTGCTGGAGTGGGCATACAGGGACAGTAGACCATCAACTAGTTCTGGGGAGCAGTTTAAAATTTAAAACAGTTGTTTACATCTATAACTAACATTTCAGGTCGGGTACAGTGGCTCACATCTGTAATCCCAGCTAATTGGGAGACCCAGGCAGGAGGATTGCTTAAGCCTAGGAACTTGAGACCAACCTGAGCAACGTGGCCAGACACGTCTCTACAAAATATCAAAAAATTAGCCAGGTATGGTGACACACACCTGTAGTCCCAGCTACTCGTGAGGCTGAGGCAGAAGGATCAAACCTGAGCCCAGAAGTATGAAGCTGCGGAGAGCCATGATCATGCCACTGCACTGCAACCTGGACAACAGAGTGAGACCCAGACTCAAAAGAAATTATTTGAGTATACTCTTATATCCATTGTGTAAATCAAAGGTATATCAGAATCAAATGCCAAGCATTAGTTTTTCCTTTCTGCAAAAGAATTTTTAAAAATGAATATACTATGTGGTTTTCTTTTTTTTTTTTCTTTTTGAGTTGTAGTCTCACTCTGTCGCCCAGACTGGAGTGCAGTGACCACTCCCGGCCACCGCAGCCTCGACCTGCTGGGCTCCGGTGATCCTTCCGCCTCAGCCTTCCAAGTAGCCCGGAATTACAGGCATGCACTACCACGCCCAGCTGATTTTTTGATTTATTGTAGAGATGAAGTCTCGCTGCCTAGGCAGGTCTCGAACCCACAGGCTCAGACAATCCACTCACCTCAGCCTCCCAAAGGCGCGGGATTACAGGCTGAGCCACCAAGCCCAGCTCTATGTGATTTTCTTGTATTTTTACTCCTGAGTATAGGCTTTTTAAATAGAGAATGCCAATTCTGAGTACCAAAATCTACTACACTGAATGTGCCCCTTTCTTACTTTTTACTTCACTGATATTTCTATAAGAATAAAAGTGCAATAAAAGTATTCAGCATCATTAGGAGAAAAAAATCAGGATGTCACCTTTAAATTCACCTAAACCGAAACTTTAATTCCCCTGGAACCTTATCTGCAGATGTTAATGTTACTTTGACAAGGGGGAATCAGGAGAGAGTCTCACTTTCAACTTACACTTTTGACCTGGAGAGGGGCATGAAGATTATTCCATCTAAGCACCTGGTCTTCTAGATGAAACAAGATGCTCCAAAATGCTAAATTATACACCCAGGTTCTTCTGACTTATTAGAGTGAGTGTGGCTCATTTGGGCACAGTGAAGCTTCCTGATTAAGTTGCTTTGCTTCTTCGGAGGATTTTCAAGACCATCAAACACTGAGTGTTCATTTTAAAGATTAGAAGTAGTGATGGAAAATTCCAGTTTTGAGGTTTTATAGGGCTTCACCAGGAGTCAGGTTTGAGGGAGAGAAATAGGGACCCTCCAGCAAAGCTTCCCTCCATGACTCTCCTCATTTTTTGTTGTTGTTGTTTGTTTGTTTTTTGAGTCAGAGTCTCACTCTGTCGCCCAGACTGGAGTGCAGTGGCCGCTCCCAGCCACTGCAACCTCAACTTGATGGGTTCCGACGATCCTTCTGCCTCAGCCTTCCGAGTAGCTGGAACTACAGGCACGCACTACCACGCCTGGCTCATTTTTGATTTATTGTAGAGATGAGGTCTTACCAAGTTGCCCAGGCGGGTCTCGAACCCACGGGCTCAGGCATCCACTCACCTTGGCCTCCCAAAGCGCTGGGATTACAGGCTGAGCCACCGAGCCCAGTGATTCTCCTCATTTTGAAGGTCAACATGTATCTAAAAAGGATATGAGATACTTGCCGGGCTCTGTGGCTCAGCCTGTAATCCCGCGCCTTTGGGAGGCTGAGGTGAGTGGA